AAAACAAATATACACATTTCCTGGGGACACTTTGTACTTTGCATCTTAAATTGCTTCCTGGAGATGAGCAATTCCACCATCTTGCTAATTAAAACATTAGCACTTAAGCAAATGTCCAAAACAACGCTTATATCTCGCCAGAGTCCACCCACAACTTCAGACAGAGTTACAGCAAGGCGCTATTGTGATATCAGAATTGTCCTGGAAAATTATTAAAAACACAAAAGCAACTATAGCATCATGGCTCTCATCAACTGATATTTGATTATTTTAAAAGTATCTGTTTCTCTAGGAATGATTAAATTATTAAATAACAATTCTAAACTGGCCTTTTAAATGAACAAATTGAGCAATCTATTTCTTACCTGCAACAGTGTTCCCCAAAAGTGGAATGGGGGGAGTAGATAGTGAAGTGCTACCACACCTCCAGAACCACTGATATTATTGTGTTATCTGTCATTCTCAGCAGCCAATACACATTAGCATCTCAAGAATGGCTCAAGTATCTCAAGTGACATCAGATATGTTAGATAACTCTGGAACGTTGACCTAAAGCTGCAAGAAGGTACCTTGTATTGACTCAGATCATTAGTCCATCTAGCCTAGTATTATCTGTTCTGTTGAATGACAGATCTCCAAGATGTCAAGTAAAGAGTTTTGAAAATGGAATAATTTTTGAATTACAACTCCCAGAATCTACCAAAATAGTATGATGTAGTGTGAACCGGTGACCTAAAGGTGCAAATAAAGCAGTCAATATTCTGCAGATATTGCCCTCCCACACATCATCATTGCATCAAGAAACACTGGTACTCAGTGTGCAAACAGTGCTTCACGGCCATAAACTTTTCAGATAAACAGCAGCTGTTGTGTTGCTGCTCTGCAGATGGCCAAATAACATTGAAAGTTAATAGCTTGCATCAAATAGCTTAAATATGAGATGGAATTCACTATCCCTATCATTAGGGATGAGGCCCCATTTACACTGCCATTATAATGCAGATTGAACTGCATTATATGGTTAGTATAGACTCATATAATTCAGGTGGAGCCCCTGGTGGCACAATGGGTTAAATCCTTGTGCTGGCAGAAGTGTTGACTGACAATTCAGTGGTTTGAATCCAGGGAGAGTGGGTTGAGCTCCCTCTGTCAGCTCCAGCTCCCCATGTGGGGTCATGAGACAAGCCTCCCACAAAGATGGTAAAACATCAAACATCCAGGTGTCCCCTGAGCTAAATCCTTGCAGGCGGTCAATTCTCTCACACCAGAAGCAACTTGCAATTTCTTAAGTCACTCCTGACATTAATATATATATATATATAATTCAGGTTAATGTCGTTGAACTGGATATGGGTCTATATAGACCATATAATTCTGTTCAGTCTGCATTACAATGGCAGTACTGTTGCCTCAGGCATAAAAAATGGCAAGAAGATAATGGAGGAGAAACCTATCTATTGTACGACTTAGCCTGCATCCCATAGATTACCAAGCTGTCATGAACACTGGCAGAGCATTCAGTTTCTATGAAGAAAGATTCAGTTGCCAATTCAGTTGGCATTTATACATGGAATGGGAAAGGTCACTTTCTTATTCTTTTCTACAGACAGCCGGATGTCCTGTGTTGGACCTCATTCCTCAGAAGAAACCAAGTCACAAATCCCATTGACTTCACTCTGACACAAGAAATAATCAGGATATAATCCAAGAAAAACTGAACATACTAAATCCTATGGAAACGTATCATCCCCATAGACCATCAATTTCAGTGAAATATAGGCAAGCTCTATTTTCTCTAATATGTCTAGCATGTTGCCCATGTTTTCCTGAATGACAGGATGTTGGACTGGATTGATCTTTGGCTCATTTCCAACTCTGATTCTATGACCATTAAGAAATTTTGTAGCAATAAGTCTTGAGGAACCCCCGGTGGCGCAGTGGGTTAAACCTCTGAGCTGCTAAACTTGTTGGTCAAAAGGTCGCAGATTTGAATTCAGGGAGCGGTGTAAGCTTCCACTGTCAGCCACAGCTTCTGCCAACCTAGCAGTTCAAAAACATGCCAATGTGAGTAGATCAATAGGTACCGCTCAGGCAGGAAGGTAACGGCGCTCCATGCAGTCATGCTGGCCACATGACCTTGGAGGTGTCTACGGACAACGCTGGCTCTTCGGCTTAGAAATGGAGATGAGCACCAACCCCCAGAGTTGGACACAACTGGACTTAATGTCAGGGGAAAACCTTTACCTACCTTTACCTTAAGTCTTAAGGTAAAATTTATTTTCCATCCTAGATCTTTCTGTATCACATTATCATTACATTGAATTAACACTTCCAACAGGCTTTAGAATGTACTGTTCAGAGCATAATCCTGTAGATTTAGTTTTAATACAAAAAGGAACCCAAGCTACAAAAGCAATACTTTAGCTACCTGCTCTGCTGAATTCCAAAACACTAAAGCCTACAATAACTTTTAGGAATTAAAATAAGATCTTGCCAAAATAAAATCCTATTTTCATAGATACTACCATACCTAAAATTAAACAGACAGGTGTGCATGGCTAACTGAATGCCAGGACTATATTACATTGGTTCCTTGATATAAGGGAAGCCCTGTGGTGGCACAGGGGTTAAACCACTTAGCTGCTGAACTTGTTGACCAAAAGGTCGGTGGTTCGAATCCGGTGTGAGCTCTCACTGTTAGGCCTAGTTTCTGCCAGCCTAGCAATTTGAAAACATGCAAATGTGAGTAGATCAATAGGTACCGCTTCTGCATGAAGGTAAAGGCGCTCCATGCAGTCATGCTGGCCATATAACCTTGGAAGTGTCTACGGACAATGCTGGCTTTTAAGCTTAGAAATGGAGATGAGCACCAACCCCCAGAGTCGGACACAAATAGATTTAATATCAAGTGGAAACCTTTACTTTTACATTACCTAGCTGTCTTGTAACAAACCAGATAATTTATTCTCTGACTTCAGGACTGATTGGCAGCTCTGTAGGGCATCAAACATAATTTTTCCCCAGACCTATTGGAAATTTTAAGGCTGCTTTTATGCCAAATGTGTGCTCTACTTCTTGGCTACAACCTTTCCCTATTCTTACTAAGTCAAAGAACAGTAGTAGTTTAAAGCTCTCTTTCCCCTTGTAAAACAGACATAGGCTGTGATCCTACACGTGTGTCTGAAGGAGAAAATACTATAAAATTAAATGAGAATTTCTTTCTAAACACATGTGGGCAAAAGTACTCAGTATTAAAGATGATATCCCCTTGCTCCAAGTATTCCATGATAAGCACACAGTTATTTTTGCATTAATGCACCCAATGCTGTGTGCCTGACACACAAGCCACTAAGTGTTTTAAAAGATTGAGTTCTCCTGACCTTGCAGTGCAGGGTATTTCATTGCAATCAGTACAATTACTAAGCAGTTCTGCACAGTCTACCTGTCTCTGGCCAGCTACCCTTTATACATTCCCAGTTTTTATGTAAATTCCCTATTTTTGCTGCTTCATCACCCACTTCAAAATGGTTATTATAGTTTGCATTTGAAAGCATCCCGCTCCCCATGCATACCTTACCTGCATATACCTTTCCCTGCAGCTACTTCCCAGTTCCACTCCTAACATTGATGTGCTCCCTGTGAGTCAGGCATGAGCAACATACCTCTTCTTGCCTTGAGCTGCAGGCTGGTCACTGACTGGAAGGAGATGCCAGGGATGCACAGAAGCCTCTCCAAAGTGACTGCAGCTAAGAGGAGGAGATGGTCCAAGGGATGGCAGCTTGCCAGTAAATCACACTGCAGAAGCCGTCCTCACTCCTCACCATTTGCCTGGGACACACAGAGAAGGACAAAGCCAGAGTTCCCTCAACTGTGTGGTGCTGCTGGGGGCGGGAGGGAGAGAAAGTGACTCACACATCTGTCTGCAGAGAAAGCAAACCCAGACGCTCAAATGTCCTGCTGAGAAGGAGCTTCTTAGACTGGTAGAAACAAATATTCAAGTATTTCTAATCCATTCAGACCTGGAGTGTTATTATATCATGTTACAACACTGTTGGAGTAAATACCCAAGACCTGAGCAGCATCTATTATGCACTGCTTCTGCAACATACCCGAGCTTGCAATGAGGTTATATTTTGAAAAAGGGATCTTCACTCACAACTGTTAAAAGTGGCATTCTGTTATTGGGATTACAGTAAAAATGGGTCAATAAGTCCCCATGAGATGAGGCTGTGTTTAGTTTTGTCCTTAAGATCATAATGAAATGCACAAAACTGGTTGAGGGAGAAGTCAAGGATTTGCCTAAGATAGCAGGTAGGAGAAAGAATGCTCTAAACCAGGGCTTTTCCACTCATGGCCCTTTTCTATCCGAGAAAGGTTCATGTGACCCCAGGTATATAGGTATAAAAATAGGCATAAAAATCAAGCAACATTTGCAAGGCTTGCAAAATAGGCTGATCTTCCTTCTTGTGGAGCATAGCTGAAGGATTTTCTACAGAGTCCACTGTAAACACAGCAGGCTGCTGGTACCTGATTTGTGTAAATAAGTGGTGCTCAGAAACCTTTTACTGTTGCCAGCTTTTTCAGGACCCCCACATTGAGCTAAGGGGACCACATTTGGGGTCAGACACTCATGTTAAGAAGCAGTGCTCTAGATCAAAATAAATCACATCGTCACTGGTGACACACACTAATAGCACATATTGGTTGTGGAGATACCACAACCCATGTGTTCTGTGTTATTAGTGTGTATACAGTATCCAAGGGGAATATATTCCTGGGCTTCATGTGGATACTCAAAAACATGGATATAGTGCTATGGAAAAAATTCTGTTCCTGGTTTGAATGTGTCATTTCCTGTTTTATTGTGCGACACTTACTTTGAAAGGAGATATTACACTCCAGAAACTTCGTTTTTGTAGCTGCCACAAACTATGTTGAATTGGTTGAGATATTCATTGAAAAACTATAGCAAAATGTGCTGCCAGATGTCCCTCAAAAACAATTTATTTGCAGTTCAATATTAGGAAATGACATTTATAACCCAGGAACAAAAATTATGTTACATAGTGTAGCAAACCCTACTGAAATGAAGGACTTCTGGCCTAAGAAGTAATGCTGGAGGACCATTAAATGCTACCTCTCCATGTTGGCTTATTTTAACCCAACAATCAGTCAATCTGGATGTACTCTTAGAAGCGGTTTGCTGGCTAAGTGCTAAAGTGCCACTGCTCTTATCTCTTGGAGTTCCTCCGCCGTTATCATCCTCTACTACTGCTCCTGTAGCTATTTTTTCACATTTAGTCTGGCTCTCCAGCAAAAGCCTGCCTGGTGTGGGAGACACTTCCAGCAGCAATGACAGTGTTGGCATAATCTCTTGGTTCACAGGGCATGCAATCCTACCACCATGGTAAAGTTGTACCAAGGTGGATGTAAAAACAAAACAGTAAGATGATCTCTTGGACACTCATTAGATAGGTCCTAGTGGACTGTTATAGCTGAAAATTGACAAGAAAACTTCAGTTAGAGTAGGGAGAAATTGCAAAAGATAACTTGACATGAACCTGGTATCCAATCATAGATCATATTTCAGATCTAACATCAGACCAAGGCCCACCATTGACGCAAATGATATCTTGGTGTAATATCTTTTAGAAGATCACAAAATACTGACTTGTCCAAATGAAACAGCAATATTGTAAACCTTGGAAACTGTTGTACAATAACATTAATAAATATACATAGACAAAAAGGGAATACGGTCCATTTTATCACACCATCATTCTACTATGGCATTAATTCTTTAGTGTGTTGTATATGTGGCCATACCCTGATACTATCTGAGCCATGCTGTATCTACACTGCCCTATATCCCAGGATCGGATTCCAGATTATTTAGTTACCCCAGATTATCTGCCTGTGTAGACTCATATAATCCAGTTCAAAGCAGGTAATCAGCAGTTTTCCAGGAACTCAGGCTATTTCCAAATTGGCTTCCTGGTCTTTTAACTGGATGGAGGCGGATAAACCAGGAATTTAGTCCAAGCGAAGCATGAGCTCTGCTTCCCCGCTTTTCCAGGCAGCTCAGATGCCCTCTACTCCTAGCTGGCATCTCGCTGCGTGCCATATCAACACTCAGAGCTTGATAACATCCATTTAATCCAATATGAGTTCTCCACTAGAGCTGTTGAAGAGGCTTAGAGTGCCATGAATAAAAGTGTTTTTCAAGTCTTTGTGAAAGGGAAAACCAGCATACAATTATTGAGAAGGTACTTTAGAAAAGATGCAAAACACATTATTCTCTGACCTTAGGTTACCAAAGCATTTCCAGGATACAAGCTAAAGCAATGCAAAAGGCGCTTTGGTGATGGAGGACACAGGCGTTGCTGTTATTTACATGTTGCTTGTTAGCCCTATGAGAGCCAGCATCTAGATATATTTCGTCAAGGAACTAAAGGTTTAATATATTATTTTTACACTACATGATTACAAACCACAAAGTGGTTGTCAACACAGACGAAATAATGCATTTCAGCCCTTACATATAACCTATACATCTCAGGGTGCGTCTACACTGTAGAAGAATGCAGTTGGACACCACTTTCATTCATCAACGATCACTTGTGTCCGAATAGGATGGCCTTCCAAGCGTAGGGTCTTGGTGGTGGGTCCGTAGGTGACTGTGGAACCTATTCTTGGCCCACATGTTTTTCCATAGTGAGGACATCAGTTTCCAGATGGAAGGAGGTCCCAATCAAGGTGGGCTTGATGCACCTTCCTCTTGATGCGTTTCTCTCTTTTGCCCTCCACTTGTGCTTGTTTGTATTCCACAGTACTGTTGGTCACGGCTGACCTTCAGTTCGAGCACTCAAGGACCAGGGCTTCCCAGTTCTCAATGTCTATGCCACAGTTTTTAAGGTTGGCTTTAAGCCCATCTTTAAATATCTTTTCCTGTCCACCAACCTTCTGTTTCCTGTTCTTCAGTTTGGAGTAGAGTAACTGCTTTTGGAGATGGTGGTTGGCCATTTGGACAATGAGGCCAGTCCAGTGGAGTTTGTGGTGTAGGATCATCGCTTCAATGCTGGTGGTCTTTGCTTCTTCCAGCACGCTGACATTTGTCCACCTGAAGACTGTTCACAAATTTGTCAGGGCATCTAATTTTTTTGGAGGATTGACCAGAAAGAACTGAAATTCACTGGGTCAAATGCCTTTGTGAGGTCAGTAAATTTATTTATTTATTATTTATTTGGTTCACTTTTACCCCGCCCTTCTCACCCCGGAGGGGACTCAGGGCGGCTTACATATCCGAGGCACAATTCGATGCCCGTAAACATACAATACAACACAGTAACACAAAATGCCATGTACAGAGGTTGGTTTTGTTCCCTACCTTATTCTTTAGACTATCATGCAATGAAGATCACATCCACTGTTCCTCTGGAGGGGCGGAAGCTGTTCTAGGATTCTGGGAGGATGCCTTCTGAGGTGGGCAGAGGGCGGTTTGCAAGGATTCTTGCTAGGATTTTCCCAGCGGAGGTTAGGAGGGAGATAACTTGATAGTTTCCACACTGTGTTCTGTCCCCTTTTTTGAAGAGTGATGATAGTGGCATCCTTGAAATCTGCTGGATTTTCCTGGTCACCCACACTTTTTCTATAGCTGGTGGAGTTGTTGTGTCAGCTCACGTCTGCCCTCTTTAAAGATTTCAGCAGGGATCCCATCAGGTCTGCTGGCTTTGTTGCTTTTTAGTTGCTGATGGCTTTGCTTACTTCCTTCAAACTAGGTGGTGCTACAAGCTCATCCTTAGTTTGTTGTTGCGGGATTTGTGAGAGAGCCTCTTCGGCCACATTGGAGTGCCATGGTCCACGGCTATAGGGATGTGGGAGTTCTAGTTTCACAAGGTCTTTATAATTTGGGTTGCTGTGAGTTTTCCGGGCTGTATGGCCATATTCCAGAAGCATTTCCTCCTGAAGTTTCACCCACATCTATGCCAGGCATCTCCAGAGATTGTGAGATCTGTTGGAAACTAGGCAAGGGCGGGAGAAAACACTCTTGTTTGTTGGAGTGTGAATGTTACAATTGGCCATCTTGATTAGCCGTGAAAAGTTTTGCAGTTTCAAAGCTTGGGTGCTTCCTACCTGGAGGGAAACGTTGTTGGGAGGTGTTAGCTGACCCTGATCATTTCTTGTCTGAAATTTCCCTGCTTTCTGTTGAAATTGTCCACATGCTTGTGGATTTCAGTGGCTTCCCTGTATCGTCTGAAATTGTAGTTGTTCGAGTGGTCGAGCATTTCTGTGTTCTCAAATAATATGCTGTATCCAGGTTGGTTCATCAAGTGCTTTGCTATGGCTGACTTCTCTGCTTGAGTTCATGATCCTTGATTCATGTTTGGGCAATGCTTCAGTTGGTGGTCCCTATGTAGTCTTGTCCACAGCTGCATACAGTATACAGTAGACTCCTGTAGAAGTTAGAGGATCTTTATAGTCTTCTCTGCTATATATTGCTGGAGCATCACAAACTACAAATCTTAGGATTCCATAGCATTGAGCCCTGGCAATTAAAACTGTGTCCAATTATATTAATTATGCAATCCTACCTCAACAGGACTAAACTGCTTAACTCCGCCCCCTATGTTGATTAAAGGGGAGGGGCGTTGATTAAGGGGGAGGGCCAGGCGCCTAAGCCCCGCCCCTGCTGCAGCCTTGGAGTCAGGAAGCTTAACTCCGCCCCCTTTATTAAGTAGCCCAGGCTCGCGTAAACGTTCGAAGGGGAGGTGCGTTGAGTATGGAGGCGTGGCCAGACACATAGGCCCCGCCTTGGAGTCCAAGGCGCTTTACTCCGCCCCCTGCGCTCATGCACAACAGTTCGAATGGGAGGGGCGTTGCGTAGGGGGGCGTGGCCAGGAACCTAGGCCCCACCCTCTCCCTGCCTTGGAGTCCAGAACGCTTAACTCCGCCCTCTGTGCTCAAGCAGCTTAGGCTCGCGCAACCATTCGAAGAGAAGGTGTATCGTGTAAGGAGGCGCGGCCAGGCGCCTAGCCCCGCCCTTTCCACGGCCGCTTAATTCCGCCCGATACGCTCAGTAGCTCCGACACAACCGTTCGAAGGGGAGGGGCATTAAGAGGGCGTGGCCAGGCGCCTAACCCCGCCCTCTCCCTGCCTTGGAGTCCAGGGCGCTTATTTCCGCCCCCTGCGCTCAGTATCCTAGGCTCGCGCAACCGTTCGAAGGGGGCGTGGTCAGAAATCTAAGCCCCGCCTCCTCCCTGCCAGGAGTCCAGGGCGCTGAACTCGGCCCCTAACCGCTCGAAGGGGTGGGGCGTTGAGAAAGGGGCGTGGTCTGTCTCCTAGCCCCACCCTCTCCCTGCCTTGGTGTCCATGGTGCTTAATTCCGCCCCTTAAGATCAGTAGCTCGGGCACAAACGTTCGAAGGGGAGGGGCGTTGAGAAAAGGGGGCGTGACCATGCACATAGGCCCCGCCTCCTTCTTGCCCTGGAGTCCACGGCGCTGAACTCCGCCCCCTGCGCTCAGTAGCCCAGGCCCAACCGCTCGAAGGGGCGGGGCGTTGAGAAAGGGGGGTGTGGCCAGGCATCTAGGCCCCGCCTCCTTCTTGCCCTGGAGTCCACGGTGCTGAACTCCGCCCCCTGCGCTCAGTAGCCCAGGCCCAACCGCTCGAAGGGGCGGGACGTTGAGCAAGGGGGCGTGGCCAGGCGCCTCGGCAGCGCCAAGCCGGTTCCGCCGCGAGCGGGATGGAGGCCATGGCGCCTGCGCCGGCCCTTGGCAACGCGTCGGAGGCGCTGGAGCGGGCCTTGGCGACGCGGGAAGGGCAGCCCGCCGCTTCTGCCGGGACCATGAAGCTGACCCGGAAGGTGGTTCTCTCCCGGGCGAAGGCCACCAGCCTCAGCGGCGTCCGGAAGCTCAATTGCTGGTGAGGGGCCGGGAAGACGGGGAGGTGGAAAGGGGCCTTTTCAATCGGTTCAGGAGCTTTCCCTGCTGCACAACACCCAGTCAGGAGGCCCTCTCTGCCCCGACTTGTAGTTCCCTCCAGTTGTATTGACACATTTTATTATTTCCTAGCCTTCATCAGCATTGAATCTAGTCATTTCCTGTACAGATCCAACCCTTCATAGCTTGAAAATATTTTGAAAACATTCCAAAAAGCAAGTCATTTTACACATATTTCTTTCCTGTTGTCTCTCCCATAATATGTCCTCATATTGCACTCCCCCCATTGCAGAAGGTCTGTTCCGAATTGTCAGAGGCCTTTTAAATCCCACCACTCAAGGTGGGAACCCTGACGATTCGACTTCTCGCTGTGAAGCTTTTGCTCAGTTCTTTACAGACAAAGTCGCTTTGATCCGTTCTGGTCTGGATACCATGTTAATGGCAGTCTCTGAGGATGTAACACGAGCACCTGCTTGTCCAGTTTTGATGGATTCATTTCAATTGGTGAAACCCGAGGATGTGGACAAGATACTTGGAGGAATGAGGCCAACCACATGCATCCTGGACCCCTGCCCATCCTGGCTTCTAAAGGAGGCCAGAGGGGGATTGGCTGAGTGGGTGAAGGTGGTGGTTAATGCTTCCCTTCGGGAAGGCAAGATTCCAGCGAGCTTAAAACAAGCTATAATAAAACCGCTGTTGAAGAAACCATCACTGGACCCCACTAAATTCGACAACTATCGGCCAGTTTCCAATCTCCCCTTCTTGGGCAAAGTCTTGGAACGTGTGGTGGCCTCACAACTCCAGGTATTCTTGGTAGACACGGATTATCTAGACCCGGCACAGTCTGGCTTTAGGCCGGGACATGGTACCGAGACAGCCTTGGTCGCCTTAGTGGATGATCTGCGCCGGGAGCTCGACAGGGGGAGTGTGTCCCTGTTGGTGCTGCTGGACCTCTCAGCGGCCTTCGATACCGTCGACCACGGTATCCTTCTGGGACGCCTCGCGGGGATGGGTCTTGGAGGTACTGTTTTGCAGTGGCTCCGGTCATTCCTGGAGGGTCGATCTCAGAAGGTGTTGTTGGGGGACACCTGTTCAACCCCACAACCATTGTCTTGTGGGGTTCCTCAGGGCTCAATATTGTCTCCCATGTTGTTTAACATCTACATGAAGCCGCTGGGCGAGATCATCCGGAGTTTCGGAGTGCAATGTCATCTGTACGCAGATGATGTTCAACTCTGTCACTCCTTTCCACCTGCTGCTAAGGAGGCTGTTCAGGTCCTGAACCGGTGCTTGGCAGCTGTGACGGTCTGGATGAGGGCGAACAAATTGAAATTGAATCCAGACAAGACAGAGGTCCTCCTGGTCAGTCGCAAGGCCGAACAGGGCATAGGGTTACAGCCTGTGTTGGATGGGGCCGCACTCCCCCTGAAGACGCAGGTTCACAGCTTGGGTGTGACCCTGGACTCATCGCTGAGCCTGGAACCCCAGGTTTCGGCGGTGACCAGGGGAGCATTTGCACAGCTAAAGCTTGTGCGCCAGCTGCGCCCGTACCTTGGGAAGTCTGACTTGGCCACGGTAGTCCACGCTCTGGTTACATCCCGTTTAGACTACTGCAACGCTCTCTACGTGGGGTTGCCTTTGAAGACAGCTCGGAAGCTCCAACTAGTCCAACGCTCGGCAGCCATGATTTTAACAGGAGCGGAGCGCAGGGAGCATACAACCCCCCTGTTGCGCCAACTCCACTGGCTACCGATCTGCTACCGGGCTGAATTCAAAGTGCTGGCGTTGGCCTTTAAAGCCCTAAACGGTTCCGGCCCAAGCTACCTATCTGACCGCATCTCTGCCTATGAACCCACCAGGAGTTTGAGATCTTCCGGGGAGACCCTGCTCTCGATCCCGCCTGCTTCTCAAGCTCGGCTGGCGGGGACGAGAGATAGGGCCTTCTCGGTGGTGGCTCCTCGGCTGTGGAACGCCCTTCCTACGGACATTAGACTAGCACCATCTCTAATGGTATTCCGCAAAAAGGGGAAGACCTGGATGTTTGTGCAGGCGTTTGAGTAATTTAGTACAATCTGGTAATGGAACATAGGAATGGAACAATGGACGACGAATCTGGACTACGCTTGGATGATGAGAAGATTGGGTACGGTTGTTTTTTGTAATAATTGTGCATTGTAATTGCTTATTGGTAATTTGTGGATAATGTGTTAAGTCAATTGTTATATGTTGTATGGAACCACTGCTGTTTCTACTGTTTTTACTGTTTGTGAACCGCTGTGAGTCGCCTTCGGGCTTGAGATACAGCGGTATATAAGCAAAATAAATAAATAAATAAATAAATAAATCTCCACTGTTCCATCCCCTACAAGTTCTTATATTTTGGTCATTCCTATCTTATCCAGTGTTTTATCATTTTAATGTACATTTGGCCCACCCATTGTTATTGTGATTGTTTTCACCTTATTACTTTGCACTGTTTTATTTACTTTTATGTTTACGTATTTTATTGTGTTGATATTTTTGCTGTTCTGTATTTTTTGTTGTTATGTATTATCAGGCTTGACCTCATGTAAACCGCCCTGAATCCCTTTTGGGGAGATGATGGCGGGATAAATAAAGTTTATTATTATTATTATTATTATTATTATTATTATTATTTGAAACACATCAAGATGAGTCCACAGCAGACACTCTGCTGGCTGTTGTATTGGATCACACATCGGACACTTCCCAAGTGTCTAAGACTGTGTGATGTATCGGCGAATAATGCGTGCAGATTCCAGTAAGGTAGCCTTCTGCAGCTGGCAGATGGTAATCTTGTCAGCGCCGATTGTGTTTAAGTACAGGCCCAGTGTGCCAATCACCACTGGGATCACCTTGACTGGCTTGTGCCAGAGTCTTTGCAGTGCGATCTTTAAATCCTCATATCGTGTCAGGTTTTCCAGTTGTTTCTCTTCAATCCTGCTATCGCCTGGGATTGCAACATTGACAATCCATACTTCGTTTTTTAACACAATTGTGAGGTCAGGAGTATTGTGCTCCAAAACTCTGTCTGAATCTGGAAGTCCCAGAGGAGTTTGGCGTGTTCATTCTCTGTAACTTTTCCGGCTTGTGATCCCACCAGTTCTTTGTCGCAGGCAGATGGTATTTGTGGCACAAGTTCCAATTAATCATCTGAGCAACGGTGTTATGCCTCTGCTTGTAGTCTGTCTGCACGATCTTCTTGCAGCAGCTGAGGATGTGATCTATTGTTTCATCTGCTTCCTTGCAGAGTCTACATTTGGGATCTGTCATCGACTTTTCAATTCTGGCTTTGATGGCATTATTGTTGTTGTTATTATTATTATTATTATTATTATTACATAAGGCATTATATTTGCTATAGAAAAGGTAAAGGTTTTCCTCTGACATTAAGTCCAGTCGTGTTTGACTCTGTGGGTTGGTTCTCATCTCCATTTCTAAGCCGAAGAGCCGGCGTTGTCTGTAGTCACCTCCAAGGTCATGTGGCTAGCATGACTGCATGGAGCACCATTACCTAGACATTCATAGAGGGTTTTAAATGACATCTCTGTCTTATGTGACATTCCTTTGATTAGTATAAATGCTGGCATATATGGTGTTCTAAATGCACTCATTAAAAGATGGTTTTTCTCTTCTAGGGGCAGCCGCATTGCAGATGTAAGTATTATTTCTGTCTATTGAAAGTGTATTAAATTGGGTTTATGGCTGTCATAACTGTTCTGAAGTACAGGCGGGAGCAAAGCAGCAGCTTTAACTCAATCTCATACTACCATGCCATTCAGTAACAACAGGAAAAGAAAGGAAATAACTCATTCATTGGTTGCAGCAACACTGTCGCTGTGCTTTGCCACAAACCTGGTTTAGATAGTAATCTAGGAATCATGGCTGATATGGCAGCCAAATCATTTCTCACAGCCATCACTTCCTATACCAGCATTAAGGAAGGAATTGTATCCCAGTGCTTTGCTTGCTTCAAAAGGCCAAATTCAGTTTCTGTCATTTGAGTTTAGAAGCATTGCTGTTCATGTATGTTGAGAATACCCCCACTCTTAGGGGCTGCTGTAAGATAAGATAAAGGTAAAGGTTTCCCCTGACAGTAAAGTTACTCTTTATGAACTGTCATTTCCCAGAGCAAGTAACTTTTATATAGAGTAAAAGTAAAGGTAAATGTTTCCCCTGACATTAAGTCTAGTCATGTCCGACTGTGGGGGGTGGTACACACCTCCGTTTCTAAGCCAAAGAGCCGGCATTGTCCGTAGACAATTCCAAGGTCATGTGGCCAGCATGCCTGCATGGAGTGCTGTTACCTTCCCGCTGAAGTGTTACCAATCAATCTACTCACATTTGCATGTTTTTGAACTGTTAGGTTGGTATAATCTGGGGCTAACTCCACTCCCCGGATTCAAACCGTTGACGTTTCAGTCAGCTCGTTCAGCAGCTCAGTGGTTTAACCCGCTGCACCTTCTCTAAGATAGAGATGGGGATATTTTGGGTAATTTGGGAATAGACTCCTATGTTTTGATACTGGTAAACCACATATAAAAATAATCCTTTAGTCCACTGTAGTCTGGATTTTGGTCTGTTTATATTATTGAAATTGGTGAAACGCATTTTATTGTAAGCTGCCCTGAAGTCCTGTGATACAGGAAAGAATATCAATATTTTAATTTGTAACAGACTTCCCAGATTAGTTGGTGCATATGTTTGCTTCCCCCCAGTCACTCCCAAAATTGAGAGAGCCTATTTTTTTTTCTTTTCCCTCTTTCTTTTTTTAATGTCCAGATTTCAGTCTGCCGTGAGCTTCCCAACGTTGAGGTGATGACACTGAGGTATGTAAGCCTGCTAAACAAGTATGCTTAGGTTGACTAATCAATACAATGATATTTGTTGTCTGTTTTTCAAAGTCAAACACTGCTTCAAAAATGTAATAATAGGCCAGATCTTCCAAGTTGCTGTGTTTAGAATGCATGATGCCCTCTCTCCCCTGTTTACACACTCCTTGTTTAAGCTGGATGTGGTTCAACTGTACAAGTTTCTTTTCCATCTTCATACTACCTATGAACTCTAATTGGACTAGAAATTATGAAGCATGCAATTCCCTACTGCTACTATCACTGCTCCCAAACAATAGGGGGGAAACAGCAAAAGATTTTGTTTACATGACACTAGCTGTAATATTATGAGCATTGCTTAATTGGAAATAGTCGTAAATAAATGCTACACTTTAACTGTGACGTCTTAATATGCATCCTCACTTTCTCTCTAATAGCGCAAATAACATCTCTGATCTGGAGCCCATGAACCAGTGCCTGAACTTAACTGAACTTTATCTCAGGAAGAACAATATTGCCAGCCTCCACGAACTGTTTCACTTGAAAAAACTGCCCCATCTAAGGATCCTCTGGCTCTCTGAGAACCCCTGTTGCGGCTCTGATCCTTTTCACTATCGGATGACAGTTCTGCGCAATCTCCCCCATCTCCAGAAGCTCGATAACCAAAGTGGGTACTGCAATAAACTTCTTAGTTTGTTTGGGATTTTTTGTGTTTTTTTTTAATTCACTCCTCTTATGTTTCAACTTGATATGAATTGGAATGAGATGATAAAAGAGGCAGTAGATTAATCTTCTGTACATCAGTTGATGCAATTTGTTAAAATGTCTTTGATCTGGCATTGAATGTTTGACATAAGTGTTGGAAACCAACCCTGGGTCCCTTCGGGGAGATAGGGCAGTCTATAAACAAAGTTATATTATTATCAAATGGCAGCTCATTCCATTTAAATACTTTCATGTGGCAAAAGCTTTCAAGTGAAGAATTAACACATGTAGGAAGGTTCTCCCAAGATATTTGTATATTGCCTATTAGTGAGAAGCTTGTCTAGATTGTTTTTCATGTGTCACATGGGCTTCAACCTAGTACCTTGTTTAAAGTTCCTGCATTCAAATCTGTGGCAGCTAGGAGCCATATGCTCCATGTGGCAATGTGCTAACTGCTAGCATCTCATAAACTCAGAGTTCATAACCAACACTATAATGAGCAGAAATTCCACCCCAGTCATTATACCAAGCACAATAACTTTAGATATATGAAGTACAAAACTTCACTATGCTTTTCACAAAGCTATGCAATGCTTTTGACACTATACACACACACACACACACACACACACACACTTCACTATGAGGTTAGCAGTGGAGTGACCCAGCTCAAAGGATCATTCGAATTTTACATTTGAAGCATGCTTATGTCTGAATTGTGGACTGTTCATTCTTTATGTTTGTCCTGTTTCAGCAAGTGCAGTTGCTACCAGTTGGGTTTCTTTAGGTATTAGCTTGGTTCTCTGGTTGGTATGGTCATGTGTCAGGTAGAAGGACCCTTAACTGAATTGTCTGCCTTACCTCTTTCCACCAAAAACACCTCCTGAGATTCTTGCACATTGGAAACTTTGCAGGTGAAAGAGAAGGCTAGGGCTAGAACTTATTTCTTATGTGATGGGATTTTAAAAAATATTGGAGGAGTTTCTAGCCATCTGAGGTACTTCTTGGCACAGTGATGCTCTGGCTCTGGACTAACTAAACTTGACTAAGAGGGCACATGCTTTAGCTTTTGTTTGGTGTTTGTAGTGGTGACAGAAGAAGAACTGTCCCATGCACTTCTGGAAGGGGAGGAGATAACAGCGCCCCCATCAAGAGCAAACATAGAGCATTGTTGCCAAAACACTACCATTGAGTCCAGTGTGGCAGAGTCTACAGTGGAGAATGAAAACGAACTCATGAACTTCAGCTTGGAAGAGACAAAGTAAGGAAGCACTGCTTGCTTGTCCTTGGTGCTCCTCTGCTTTTTATTCACAGGGAATGTCTAGTTCATCATTGTGTTAAAAGTTGCATAAATCTACACAGCAAAGTATTATGTAATGATATGATTTTTAACATGTTTCAACTAGACTTGGCAGTGTTTATTGGACCAAAGCTCTCAGAATCCACCATTCAGCATTGCCAGTGGGAACCTGAATGTTCCAATAAGCATTTGAGAATGACTGGTCCCTACTTAGTCCAGACATCCTCAAACTGCGGACCTCCAGCTGTTTTGCTCCCAGAATTCCGGAGCATTGAACAAGCTGGCTAGGGCTTCTGGGAGTTGGAGGCCTAAACAGCTGGAGTGCTGCAGTTTGAGAATGCTTGGCTTAGTCCCTAGCCCACCAGACAGTACTCTGTTCTCTGCACTTCTTCCAATCCCTTGGCCCTATACTATGCTGTTTTGCACTATACCATACCCATCCTTTTTTATAGCCTGATCATGCCCATCTTAGTACTCCTGGTTATTGATTTTTTTTTGTTTGTGTATTGTTTGAGTTAGTTTTAAGGCTTCTGTTTTATACCCTTATGTTTTATTTGGTAATGTTTTATCTGATTGTTATGCTTTGCTGTGTTTTATTTTAAATATATTTTTGTTTTTAGTGGACTGTTTTATTTTGATGTTTTGTGGACATCTTGTCCCATGTGTAAGCCACTCCGAGTCCCTTTGGGGAGATGAAGGCGGGGTACAAAATAAAGCTATTACAACTGTAATCCAAAACTTGCTTTTCAAAACTGTTACACATCTGTTGTGTCTAATAGAAGCAGCTAAAGTGTCCCAGTTTAGATCATGCAAAGTAGGATGTGTTCACAAATGGCTGCTTTAGTTATTTATTTATTTAGAACTTTTGTATCCCGTTCATCTCTACCTCTGTGAAGGGACTCAGAATGGCTAACAGCAAAAATTCAATGCACAATAAATAACATCATAAAAACAACATACACAGTAAATAAGTTCTAAAATACATATAAAACAATTCATCAAGTTATTTGATTTTCTTCTTTCCTCCATTCCACAGTAAAATTCGTGAGCAGCTTGGTATGAAACCAGTTCCGAGAGATAAGTTTACTTCCTTCTCACCCAGGGAGATAGATGGGAACCGAAAGAAACGGGTGAGTGTGAAAGCATGTGAAGCTGTTCTTACATAATAGTTAAAAAGACACAGTCCGTTTGTTTGACCCCCCCCCCCCCCCCGGGGTATAGAAATGCAGTTAATAAATAAATAAATAAATTATTATCCCTATTCACTGGGCAGAAATGAATTGTAGTCCGATTCTCCCAATTGAAATCTGTTTCCGCAGAATAAAACTTGAAAAGGAGTGCATGGCTCTCCTAATTTACTAATCTGAAGGAATGGAAAGCTGTTGGTATCTTTGATTTCTTCATGACTGGGAAGTATGAGGAGAATTCCGGTTTTTCTAGCAAGGAATGGGTTGGAGCTTAATAATATTGCAGTTTAAAAACTTGGCATTATACTAAATGTCCTTTGACCAATAGCTGGCCACTTGGAGTGCCTCTGGTGTTGCTATAAGAAGGTCCTCCATTGTGCATGTGGCAGGGCTCCGGTTGCATTGCAGTAGGTGGTCTGTGGTTTGCTCTTCTCCACACTCACATGTTGTGGACTCCACTTTGTGGCCCCATTTCTTAAGGTTGGCTCTGCATCTCATGGTGCCACAGTGCAGTCTGTTCAGCACCTTCCAAGTCGCCCAGTCTTCTGTGTGCCCAGGGGGGAGTCTCTCATTCGGTATCAGCCATGGCTTGAGCTTCTGGGTTTTTGCCTGCCACTTTTGGACTCTCGCTTGCTGAGCTGTTCCTGCAAGTATCTCTGTACATCTTAGAAAACTATGTCTTGATTTAAGGCATTAGCATGCTGGCTGATATCCAAACAAGGGATACTGTAATTTATTTCATTGGACTGGACTGGAGAGAACAGAATGCAGAGCACTGTTACTTAAACTGTGGGTCCCAACCCAAAATTGGGTCCCCTTAGCTCAGTGTTGAGGTTCTGAAAAATCTGGCAACAGTAATAGTTTTCTGAATGTTATCCGTGGCCGTTTCAGCCATTTACACAAGCCTTTTGCACTGTGTTTACAGTGGAATCTGCAGAAAAATGTTTCAGTTGTGAAAAATCAGCCTGTTTAGCAAGCCTTGCACATATCAGTAAATGTTTTATTTGTATACCTTTATATGCACTTATATGGGTAAAAAATCAATTAAAAATTTATTGGGCAGAAAGGGGTCATGAGTGGAAATGTTTAAAAAGCTCTGGTCTAGAGGACTGAGCTTCCAGGTCACTGATTCCCATGTCATTTCTTATATTCCTTTCTTGTATGCTTTACATTAATAGAACAACATCCTCAATGCCATCCTGCTTCTCCTAGAAGAGCTTGATTCAGAGGGACTAGAGGTTGTCCATGAAACTGTTGAGAACAAACTCCAAGCCTTGCAGAAGAAGGAACTCCATGATAATCGATAGCACATCACGGTAGCAGTTTTGTGGACTAGTGGTACTTGCATCTTTAGGCAAGGCTGTGCCCTCCTCATGCTGCTGAGCTTTATGTGGAGATATGCAACAGCTTACAAGAAGAATAATAGACATTCCTTCTAAGCCTTGCACAGTAGGATCCTGTTGTACAACAAGCTTTCATTTGCAGCCACAATTTAACATACAGCTGCTACTCTGCACTCCACTAAGGCTCACAACAGACCCGCACGGAGCAGCAGCAATTACAGAAAAGAGAGGAGGGAGACCATTTCTGGGCCCTTTCCTGCTAATGCCCGACAAGTAGAAGAATCACTCCTAGTCTTGCTTCAGGTGTGGTTATGCGTGGGCTGCAGCTGACTTTCTTAGTGTTATTTTTTTTTTTTTGCAAGAGTAGGCTTGCTTTCCTGATACCATCTCCAGTACTAAGGAGCTTTTGATAGTAACTTTGGCCATGAAGTCTAAACGTCTCAAAGCTAAGATATTTTTTTTAAATCACGGAACCTTTAAATTTAGTGCTGAGCTTCCTAGTTTTGACCCACTACCTCTCCTTCACATAGTGGGCAGACGTGATGAAAAGAATGTATTCTGCCAACTAAACTTGGAGTTTGTTTGAGTTTCTTGTTTCACTCAATATGAATCCTTTGTTTCAGCTTTGAATGTCTGCCTCAGCCGCCTTGGATCACTTGTCATTTTAGTCCCTATAGTAGCCTTTAAAAAAAATATAAGGACATCTGATGTGGAGAAAGCGAATTGACGATGCAAAGTGCTTTTGGTGTCAGAAGGGACATTAAAATAATTTACCAAAAATGTATAGACTTGATGCGTGGTTCATCTCACTGTGTGTCATTTAAGAAGCTGGGTCTAATGCAGGGAACACATTATGAATTGATGCTGCTAAGTCATCTGTACGCATTGTGTTTTCTCACTTTTCCCCAAAACAATTCTGGTTACAGGTCTTGTGGATTTGAAAGTAAAGAATGATTCCTATTAAATGCATTTTAAAAATTGTGATAATTTGTCTTGACTCATTTCTGTATGAATTGGATCGCCTGAGAGTTGATTAATTTTGAAATGCCACTAGTTAAACGTTGTATACAACTTGTGTACAACTCATCTTCTGGCTTAAAAAGGATGTTCAAGTCAACAATAATAAAGGTAAAGGTTTCCCCTGTCATTAAGTCTAGTTGTGTCAGACTCTGGGGGGTGGTGCTCATCTCCATTTTTAAGCTGAAGAGCCACCTTTGTCCATAGACACCTGCAAGGTCATGTGGCCAGCATGACTGCATGGAGTGCCGTTACCTACCTATTGATCTACTCACATTTGCATGTTTTCAAACTGCTCGATTGGCAGAAGCTGGGCCTAACAGTGAGAGCGCACTCTGCTCCTTGGGTTCAAACCGCCAACTTTCGGTCAGCAAGTTCAGCAGCTCAGCAGTTTAACCCACTGTGCTACCAGAGGACCTCACAATAATAAAATCAATTTTTTTAAAAAAAACCTAATGTGAATACAGCTACATGTATCAGTAAAAGACATAGCTAGAATGGTAAGGGGTAGATCTCTCAAACAGGAAATTACCCAAAGACAGAAGTGTATCCTGCATACTTTTGCCTGCCAGCAAAAGAGGTAAATACTGGACAGCACCTAACAAAATCTACAGGGGGTAAAAGGGAAGATGTATCTCCAAGTGATCTAGTAGATGGTTTAAAAAAAAACACCTCAACATGTTTAATCCTATGCATATATTTGTCCTTCCTCATATAAAACAGAAATTCAAAAATCGAAAGGGAAGTGCATGATTATAACTTCATACTACATAATACATTCCATTTTCTCCTGTGCTGGATTGGCATAGCTCTTCTTTGGAGTTTGGAGGGGTGAATCCACTACCCCTGATTGTCTTTACACTTTTTTGTAAGAAAGAAAAATTCTTCTATATTCCCCACACTAGTGTGGATGAAATTTTGCCATGTTTTGGCCATTTTAGATCCAGCAAAGGCCTTTTTCCAATTAAGAAATAAAATCGAAAACATTTTGGGCCTGATAGCCCAGAGGAGGCTGTAAAACAGTCCTAGGACAGCTGGCAAAAGTCCCCATATACTCCAAGGGGTTTCTGAGGAGAGATGTTGAAAATTGCTAAAATAATTCTCTGGCTATGCAAAATAAAACACGGTCCTCTAGAAGTATGAGCGATGACCCTCAGTATTCTAATCTGACCCTAATAACCATAACATCTTTTTATGCTAATCTACTGCCAAGCTGAAGACTGTCATATTTTTCTGCAGAAATGGACTATAAAATCAAATCTAAGATGTCCCAGAGTAACCTTTTAAACAGCACCAGGAATCTGAAATTAGTAGCACAAAATAATGAGTAGTAGAAAGGACCTTGCACACTTACCCTGCCTAGAGGGTACTGCAATGTATTCAACAAAACATGAGACTCTTTAGTATAGTGTGTTCCAGATGCAATTATTATTTACTGAAAACTAAGTGCCTAGTTCTACCTGGGTTGGAAACCCACTCCACCACAGTCTTGTTATCTTTGTAGGTGTTCTGTCTCTCTCCTCATCTATCCACTGACACACAGAATCATAGAGCTGGAAGAGACCTTGTGGGTCATCCAGTCCAGCTCCTTGCCAAGAACCAGAAAATCTCAAAGCACCCTCCCCCCCCCCCGACAGATGGCCATCCAGCCTCTATTTAAAAGCCTCCAAAGAAGGAGCCTCCACCACACCCCTGTGCAGAGAGTTTCAATGTTGAACAGCTCTCACAGTCAGGAAGTTCTTCCTAATATTCAGGTGGAATCTTGTTTCCTGTAGTTTGAAACCATTGTTCTGCGCCCTAGTCTCCAGGGCAGCAGAAAACAGACCTGCTCTCCCTAAAACTTCCCCGCATATATTTATACATGGCCTTCATCATGTCTCCTCTCAGCCTTCTCTTCTGCAGGCTAAACATGGACAGTTCTTTAAGCCACTCCTCATAGGGCTTGTTCTCTGGACCCTTGATCATTTTAGTTGCCCTTCTCTGGACATATTCCAGTTTGTTAACATCTCCCTTCAATCATGGTATCCAGAATTGGACACAGTATTCCAGGTGTGGTAAGACCAAGGCAGAATAGAGGGGTAACATGACTTCCCTGGATCTAGACACTATACTCCTATTGATACAGGCCAAAATCCTGTTGGCTTTTTTGCCGCCACATCACATTGTTGGCTCACATTTAACTTGTTGTCCACAAGGACTCCAAGATCTTTTTCACACGTACTGCTCTTGAGCCAGGCATTCCCCCTTCTGTATCTTTGCATTTCATTTTTTTCTGCCTAAGTAGAGTAGCTTGCATTTGTCCCTGCTGAACTTCATTTTGTTAGTTTTGGATCATCTCTCTCATCTGTAAAGATCATTATGAATTGTGCTCCTATCTTCTGGAATATGTGCTATTCCTCCCAATTTGCTGTCATCTGCAAACTTGATGATCATGTTTTCTAACCCTCCATTTAAGTCATTAATAAAGAACAGGACTGGGCCCAGGACACAGGTGGTCTTCCATCCACTGAACAACTACTGCAGCACTTTTTCACTTTCTCTGCTCATTTTGTAATTTCACATCTGTCACCCCACCTTCTCATTTGGGTATTTATTACTAAGCTCACCAAACTGAAAACGGAATAGGCGTCCTCTACCTTTAATGGTTGTGTAGAGAGGGAATTTCAGGAAAGGTTGCTTGTCATACAACAAAATAAACAAGTTACATCTGAAATTTCTTCTTCTACGCAACAGAAGTTATCCCCAGTTTTCCAACCCTAGTTACCCAAATGCTTCTCTTTCATCTTACTTTTTCTTCTCTCTCCTTGTGTATAGAATGGTGCTCATCCTTCACATGTCTTTTTGCCAGCTGCAGTCTTCCTTTCCTCCCTCTCTCTAACAATAATAATAGTACATCAAAGGGAAGCTGCAAGTCTGTTTTCTTCTCCCTGTGATGCCTCTGATACTTGTGTTGCTGCTTATATGCCTTATGGAGGAAGGAATGTGCCAAGCTCTCTGAAGCCTGCTCTTCAATGGTTAGGGTAGGGAAGGCTGCCACCTAGGGATTGAAGATAATGCTGTAAGCTATGTAGATAAATGTGAATTAACTACATTATTCTATTTTATAAAGTGAAATAACCTTGAGGCCCATACCCCTAGGTCTGCTTTGCCAATATATTTCAAGTGTCTGGGCTTCATGGCTGTGAGATGGAGAAATATACATATTTACAGAGTGAAGAGGATTATTTAAAATGGAAACGTTTAATTCACTTTATGTATGCAAGAAAGAGGAGCCCCTGGTGGTGCAATGGGTTAAACTGCTGAGCTGCTGAACTTTCTGACCAAAAAGCTTGGTGGTTCAAATCCACAGAGCAAGGTGAGCTCCTGTTGTTAGGCCCAGCTTCTGACAACCTAGCAGTTCGAAACCTTGAGGCTCATACTCTAAGGTATGGAAGTAACAGCGCTCCATGCAGTCATGCCAGCCACATGATCTAGGAGGTGTCTACGGACAGCACCAGCTCTTTGGTTTAGAAATTGAGAAGAGCACTACGCCCCAGAGTTGGACATGACTAGACTTAATGTGAAGGGAAACCTTTACCTTTACCTTATGAAAGAAAGACAAAATCTGGATGAAGGAGAAACAGCTTCTTTCTTTACAGCTCCTCAATTTGAATTGGGCTGTGTGGGGGGGGAGGAGGGGGGGTCATCTTATTCCAGGTCTTTGGCAAAATAATTAGGACATTATGCTTCTAAATTTCTATCATCTTCCATGACAATATTTTCCCCTTGATAAACGAAACTCCATTTTCAAATGCTTAGATCATGCATATATACATGAATATAGATGTTTCATTTTTTTATGAATATGTAAATTGAAAATAAAAATATATTAATTTAAAACCAAATGCGTAGATCATGTAGTACAGAACTTATAGTGAGTATAAATAATAATGTCTTTTAACAACCTACCACATACATGAAATTGGATCCACTATGAGATCTCACTGCTGTGATATGATTATTACACTTTTCTGATTGTATTATGGATCTGGTGGATTGATTGAAGCAATTTAAATCAGCAAGGGAAATCATAACTTCGTATCAAATTGATGTCTTTTCATATTATTTCCTGAACAGTGGTGGAAATGTGGCCACTGAACCAGTTTACAACTGGAGTATTGCTTATGTTATTTCATTCTTAAAACCATGTCTTTGATAGATGAGTTTTTTCCTCTATGTCAGATAACACCTTCTAGAGCAGTGTTTCTCAACCTTCTTAATGCTGCGACCCCTTAATACAGTTCCTCATGTGGTGGTGACCCATAAAATTATTTTTGTTGCTACTTCATAATTGTCATGTTGCTACTGTTATGAATCATAATGTAAATATCTGACATGCAAGATGTATTTTCATTCACTGGACCAAATTTGGCATAAATACCGAATACGCCCAAATCTGAATACTCGTGGAGTTGGGGGGGGGGGGGATTGATTTTGTCTTTTGGGAGTTGTAGTTGCTGGAATTTCTAGTTCACCTATAATCAAAAAGCATTCTGAACATCACCAACGATGGAATTGAATTAAACTTGGCACACAGAACTCCTTTGACCAACCAAAAACACTGGAGAGGTTTGGCGCGCATTGACCTTGAGTTTTGGAGTTGTAGTTCACCTACATCCAGAGAGCACTGTGGACTCAAGCAATGATGGATCTGGACCAAACTTGACCAAACTCAATATACCCAAATGTGAATACTGAGGTTTGAGGAAAATGGACTTTGACATTTGGGAGTTGTAGTTGCTGGTATTTATAGTTCACTTACAATCAAAGAGCATTCTGAATCTCAACCAATGATAGAATTGGGCCAAACTTCCCACACAGAACCCCCATGACCAACAGATAATACTGTGTTTTCTGATGGTCTTTGGCAACCCCTCCAGGGGTTCTGGCCCACATGTTGAAAAATGCTGTTCTAGAGAAATTCT